AATAATAATAAATAAATGAATCCAGGGGACAAGGCCAGGGGAATTCTGATTCCAAACTCCTCATCTTCAGCTGCAAACCCACTCTTTTTGCTTGCCCTCCAGAGTCAATGATGGGCCATAAACCTGCACTTCTTCCATTCAAGCAAGGTCCTGTCATTTTCCCCAGAACTGCCACCACTTTAGGGGAGGTCTTACTGCTAACTTCTTTCCTTCCCTCTGACCCCTTCCTGCTCCAATCCCCCCTCCACCCTGTCTCCACCATCTCCAGGAATGACACATCAAGGTCTAGAGAAACTTTTGGGCTAGTACAGCCTTGCACGGAAGCAATCTGAGGCTATTTTTCAAATTGCTGACAATGTTCAGTCCCTGTGGCTCAGCAGGCTAAGTCATTACTTGCAATGCCAGCATCAGACATCAGAGTGCCGATTCGCTACTCTGCTTCTGGTCCAGCTCCCTGCTAATGAACATGAGGAAGCAGCAGAGAATCGTCCAAGTACATGGGTCCCTGCCACCCATGTGGGAGACCCTGGCTGTTGGGAGCACTTGGGGGGAGTGAATCAGCAGCTGGAAGGTCTCCCTCTCTCTCACTCAGCCTTTCAAGTAGATGAAAATAAATAAACATTACAAAAAATAATTAAAAAATCATACCTAATGTAACACACCATTTGTCACATTATAGCTTATTTAACTCCTTACCATGCTAACCCCACACCAGACCAGCAAGGAATATGTCTGCCTGAGAATTAACATAGTCCTTGTCTGCTTTTCTTTTAGGAGACAAACTTGCCGATGTAATGAAGATCCACACTGGTGGGTGATTTCCCCCACTTCCACCCAATGACCCTAGCAGGCATCATCAACCCCAACCTGCAGAGGAAGAAACTGAAGCTTCAGAGGTTACAGAACATACGTGACCAGGAAGCAGCAGGGCTGTCCGATTCCAAAACCTAGAATTTGATAATACCATGCCAGGGCCAAAAGCCAGGTTCTTTATCTGTCCAACACAGTGTACTAAAAACTTCTTGAGGGCAGTCAAGGCATTTCACTGCTTGTTGAAAGCTGCCCAACACTGATGCACACAGACCCTCAAACACTCAGGGATTGAAACATGGGAGGATGACACACTGCAGACTGCGCTAATTCACAATGTGAGATGACCCTAGACTCACACAGATGGAAGCTTAAAGGGTCTGCCTAGCAAAACAAGTGCAATAAAAATAGTTTCAAGTTTATTCACATTAACACTTGGCTCTGTAAGGAATTTAGACAGTGCCCCTAAAGCAATCCAGAAGTACTTAATCATGAAGTGGTATGTTAATTGTTGCTCTTAAACATCCATTAATACAGATCCCCTGAAAACAGGGCAATCCTGCCTTAAATTTGTGTCACAGATTGTATTTCAAAACCCTGTTTTCAGCCTATCATCTGTCAGCCAAGCAAAATTTATTATGTTTATGTTTTAAGTAAGATTTTTAAATTTTCCCTCTAGTTCTTTAGGTTAGATGACTTTCCATTATCCCAAATGAATGCAACTTTACCAAAACCAAAAAAGGTATTTAAGAATTTTCTTGATCGCTGGCAATCAAGAGAGGCTTGAGGGAAGAGTTTGGTCCTCTGAGTGATGGCCAGGGTGTCACCCAGCTAGCAGACCCGGGGGAGGTCACACTGGGTTAGCTGCTGCCGACTCCCTTGCAAGCAGACATGCACACAAATTAGCAGTTTCTACACACACTTCTCTCCTCCTTGGGGCTAATTCCAAGGCAACAATGGGATATTTATATGCATTTCTGAGTGCATGTGTACCAGTGGGGGAATGCAGTTTCTTATATAGCACAAGAAAATGACTACATTCAGGAAAAGCCACACAAAAGGCAAACCTACGGTGCATACGGTACACAACCCAGGAACAAGGCTAACCTTCAGTACAGCTCATAAAACTCCATCTCCCCTTTCTCATTCATCTCCATTTTTAAAAATTTATTTCATTTTGTTTAAAAGGCAGAGAGACAGAGAAAAATCTTCTGTTTGCTGGCTCACTCTCCAAATACCCCCCCAAACAGGGCTGGGCCAGGCCAAAACTGGGAACCCCAAACTTACTCCTGGTTTTCCACATGGATAGTAGGGGCCCAAGCACTTGAGTCATTGCCTCCCAGAACAGGCTTTATTAGGAAGCTGGAATTGGAAGCAGAGCTAGGACTCAACCCCAGGCAATTCAATATTGAACACTGACACCCCCGTGGCATCTGAACCACACTGTGCCAAACACCTACCCAACCTCTAAAATCTTTCCAGTTTTTAGATTGAAACGAGCACTGCACCAGCAATGTGGGAAAAGGCCAGCTCACACTCCTCCAGAGATGATTCTTAGTGCCTTCCTGCTACCTGGGAATCCCTCTTGGCCCTACAAGAACACTCCAAATCACCCACCAGTGCAGATCTTCATCACATCTGCAAGTGTGTCTGCTAAGGGAAAAGCAGACAAGGACTATGAGGGCTGAGTCCATTCACCACACTCTCATGCAAGCCTCATGGCTGACTCCCAAGTACCTGGTTCCTTGTCTTACAACAGCACTCATACTGCACAGAACCTAACCTTCAACAGTACAGTCAAGTGCGGAGTAACGTCTCAGTCCACAACAGACCACATATGTGACGAACGTCCCCCAAGGGTGCACTGCCTAGGGTTGCACAGCCGTCTCAGACTGAGTAAATTCTCCCCATGAAGATCACTCAGTGGTGAAACTGCCCAACAACACGTTTCTCAGAAAGCATCCTCATGGCTAAGCAACACACAACTGTATTAGGATGTGTCCAGTATTTTAAAAGTCAAAAACATTGCAACTAAGATTATAAAAACTTATTCTAAAAAAAGAAAATGTGTATCCCTCCCCATTTTTAAAAACACTTATTTATTTGAAAGGCAGAGTTACAGAGAGAGAGAGAGGGAGAGATGAGAGAGCAAAATCTTCCATTCACTGGTTTACTCCCCAGGTTGCTGCAATGGCCAGAGCTGAGCCAGACTGAAACCAGGAGTATCATTTGGCTCTCTCTTCTGGGTGGCAGGGGCCCAAGCACTTGAGGCACCTTCTGTTGCTTTTCTCAGGTCATTAGCAGGAAGCAGGATCAGGAGTGGAGAGGCCAGCACACAAACCAGCACCCATAAGGGATGCCAGCATCTCAGGTGGTGGCTTTACCAGCTATGCCACAATGCCATCCCCTGAGTAACCTACAGATCAGCAAGCAGTTACTGCATGCATGGCTCTGAGTTAGACGCTGGGGAGTACACAGAGGAACAAGGGGCCAGCATCTGGTGCAGTAGTTCAGATGCTACTTGGAATGCCTGATTCCGAATTGGAGTGCCTGGGTTCGAGTCCTGGCTCTACCCCCAACTTCACCTTCCTGCTAATGTGCACTCTGGGAGGCAGTGGATGACGACTCCAGTAGTTGGGTCTGTGCCACCCACCTGGGAGACCTGGACTGAGTTCCAGACTCCTGTTTTCAGTACAGCGCAGCCTCGGCTTCTTTAGGCATTGGGAGAGTGAACCAGCAGACGGGAACTGACTTTTCCCTCTCTCTCTGAATGCATTTTTTTTCTTTAAAAAAATTTTCATTTGTTTAAAAGTGTAAAGCAAAGCTTATGCCTGAGAATCCCACCCTCTCCAATCTCATGGGAGAAAAGGCGCATGAAGAAATGACTACAACATAATGTGCTGTGCAGTGGGGGATATTGGGGCTGGAGGCCCTGGTGCAGGAAGCTTAAATAATCACACAAGGCTATGTGACTGCTGCAAGGTAAACTTGCCTCCAGAACCAGGACAGGTCACCACGCTTAACACGGCAGAGGGACAAGGGCAAGCCAGACACAAGGCCCAACATCTGCCAAGAGCAGCATGAAAAAAAAAAAAACAAAAACAAAAAACAACAACAACAACAACAAAAAACAAAACAAAACAAAAACGGGGTTTTAAAGAATGGGAGCAGTTCAGGAAGGCGGGAAGGAGCAGAACCAAGATGGAAGAGACAGAAACTCAGAGAAGTAGAGGCAGGTAGGAAGCCAGGTCCCACCTGTGTGATTTGATATAACCCTCCCACTCTGCTCACGCTGCTGGCAACAGGACAAATCCCCAGGGAAAATAAGTGTCACACTCCACACAGACACCAGGTGTCAGGCAACTGTCCCTGTGACTCCTGGCCACACAGTCACTGGACTTCTGGCATTTTTAAGCTCGACAGGGAAAAGATAAGCCAGAGAGACACGTGGGTAAAAACAGACTAAAGTGGCACAAGGAAAAACATTTTTAAGATCCTAAACAGGGCTATGAGTTATATCAGATATGGGATATAAATTGGTCTTTGTAAAAAAAAAAATGAGGATGTGTACTTTCTGTAGAAGAGACAGTAACCCCAATTACACAGGTGTGTCTAATACGCACTGGACCTCAGAAATTGGAGGACACGCAGTCATTGGCCTCAAGGAACTTGGACATTAAAGAGAACAAAGCAGCAAAGGCTTCATCTAACACTGGTGATAAGGGCCAAGCAAGGGAACACACAACACAGGGGGATGGACAGATCGGACAAGCAGCAGGGGGAGTTCTCTGGGGAGCAGATGTTTAACTCTGAAGACTGGGAGGAAAGGAGAGAAAACGGGGAGTCAGGGGAAGGACACTTAAAGGAGGAGTAGCAGAGAAAGAGTTCCAGAGCAGGTGGGAACCCCCCATGCCATGAAAATTTGGTGCAGAGAGAGCCTGGGTGTGAACCTGCAGGCGGCAGACAGCAGGAGGCCACTGGGCACAGCCGCAGAGGATGGAGCCTTTCCCCCCCCACACACACACTTTCCTCTCCTCCATGTCAAGCCTCTGGCTCCTTAGGGTTGGAAATGCCCCCAAGTTACCGCAATGCCAGGCTCCTGCACTTACTGGCTGTACTCATGCAGCAGAAGGGTACAGAATTCTGCCACAGGAGTTCCTCCAAGGACCCTTGAACATAGGGAAACTCACCTGTAGCAGGGTCCCAAGCAGAGACACTGGGGAAGGCATCGTAATTATTCCACATCAGGCCCAGGCTCCTTCAGGGAAAGCATCAAGGGGAGGGCTGGAGGAGAGGCGGACACGCCTGCGGAGGAGGGGCCAGGGTGGGGTGTGTTACATTCCTTTAAAAAAAAGGGGGGGCCCCTGCTTTAATTTGTGTAATCAGACCAGTGATTGGACTGCAGAACTCTGCTTCCCATTTACTACAATATCACACTCCTGCCCAGGAAACCCCACCCAAGCTTTTGTTTGGAATTCCTTTCCCTGATTAGGTGCAAGTCCTATTATTCCTGCCGCTCAGAAATAACAGGCAAATCTGATGGAGCTGCCATGGACAGCCCCACCAGAAACCTGACTTCCCAAAAACCGAGGTGAAGGCTTTTTCTTTCATTTTTAGATGTTGATTTTTTTTTTCCTCTCCTATCTTGCTGAGGGAAGAGTGGGCACAGGGAGCTTCTGCACAAATGGAAAGGCACAGTGCCCTTCCTCTCTGGAAAGAACCAAGCAAGCCAGGGCACTCCCCAGGCTGTGCGCAGAGCTGCCTGGCTCCGGGATAAAGGAATAAAGGCAGCCTGAGTTTTTAGACCATTTTCTGTCACTACAACAAAATGCCTGCGACGGGTTCACGTACAAAGAAGAGGAGGGGTGTGGAGGCTCTGGCATCTGCTCTGTTTCTGGCCAGGGCCTCCTGGCTCCACCATGGCAAGGTGAAGGGAACTGTGTACCAGCCTGACTCTGTCCTCCCCTTAGAAAGCCACAAATACTCTCAAGGGTCCCCATTCCCATGAACTCATCTAAGCCTAACAATCTCCCAAAGCCCCTGTCTCCAAACACCATTAGCTAATGACTTTGGGGATTAAGCTTCCAACAGACGAGCTTTTGGGGGATACATTCAAGCCAATAAAGTCCCATCACCCAATCTTTCCAAAGGCTGTTCTTGGCAGAGCTGCTGTCACTCTCTGCCTCCTGTCAGGAAGCAACACCGAGCTGCCATGCCACCGCACTGACTCCACTGTGCCATTTAGCAGGGTCCAACCCGGGGAGATGCGGTCATGGTCCATACAGCTGGAAGACCCACTCTGGAATGGCTGCTAATTCTAACAAGCATAGAATGGGAATTTAGGACAATTTCATCTCCCAACACTTAAAATCAATGGTTTACGGAGCACATATTTGAGCAACGTAGGAAATATGTTTTGTAGTCTGATCAGCCTAAAGGGGCTCCCTTGGGTGGCCTGGGACCTGCCCTGCCTTTTCACTCTCGCCAAAACTATATAGTTGAGCCTTACATAGTACTAAGTCCATTCTCAAGGGACCTAACAGTGGGGTAGCTCACATGGACCAATTCTGGGCACGGGGATCCCCATCACTCTCCCCGCCCACCCACCCCCCACAGGAACTGAGCCAGTTCTTGTTAGGAAACTGGCACAGTTGTAGCCAGGTGGCCGAATGGCCCAGCTACCTGAGCCAGGCTCCACCCCCATCCTAATGGGATTAGATGCTCCGGCTTCCCTGCCCGCCCTCAGGCAAAGTTTTAAAAGGGCCTGTTCCAGAACACGTGCTCTCTCTTGGCCCCTTCTCTCCTGCTCTCTCTTGGTTCCTCTCTCTAGCCTCCTCCTCTGGTCTCTTGGCTCTGCTCTCCTTTCTCCTCTTCTCTGCTCTATCTTCTCTCCTTGCTAGCTCCTCTCCCCTCTCTTATACTCTCTTTCTCCCTTTTTTCCTTCGCCGCCCCTTCACTCCGGTCTGTAGGTTGTTCCCCAATAAACCTTTTCCCTTACTCCGGTGTCCGGTGTGCTTTGCGACGGCTAACATTAAGATATAACAGGTCTATTTAGTGAACATTTAGCTAGGTGGTTGGAAAAATAGGAAGTCATAGACTGCAGCAGCCACAGAGGGCTACAGTAAACTGGTGAAAGTCATCATGACCTTGCAAGTTCATAGGCCAAATGAGAAAAGAAAGCATACCCCAAAATAGGAGCCATAGATATAGGAGGTCTGGAGACCCCTGACAGCTTCAGTCCAATTCCCATGATCCCAGAATCCTGCATTCCCGAAGAGATACAGAAACTTGTTCTGCTGACCCAACAGGCACACAAATTGGTTTCTACAGCCACCAAAGACCTTTCCAAAAGCAAGTATTGAGTGTAAGTAGCGCACTGTGGCAAACCCAATCCCAGAGCTGGCGTGGAAAACAACATCCTTACAGGATGGCTGCAGAACATGGCGGCAGGCGTACAACAAAGTGCTGGTGGTTGAATGCATATAGTCTGGACACTGAACAGACAGCACAGCTCCCTGTGGGCTGAATTTGCCAGAAAGAACTCCTAAGAAGATAAAGGCTCCAATCTGGCCATGAAAAGTAGGAAGGGCGTCACACCCTGAAGATGACATTGATAATTCCATTGTGAACCAAAGCTTCCTTACCACAAGTCCTCTGGGTTCACTGCACATCCGCTGGCCTCCGTTACTTATGGCGTAGCCCACGCAGAACTGGGAGAGGTTCCACTGGCAAGCTTTGCAGCCTGGAGTGCGGATGAGCCCAGTCAACCGCAGCAATCCCCCAGGAGGCTATTTAGAGGAGATAGGAGGGAAGTCCAGCTGCCACAGGGCTCCATGCTCTCAACTTCTTGGTGACATCATTAGCTGAAGGCAGAGGGAAGAGGGGAGGCTCACTCCCAGGGATTCCAACAGAATCAGGAGCAGGAGGAGAGTAGGATATGCCACCACGAAATCTGAAGGATTGCTGAATTAAAGGCAGCTAAGCAGCAGCACATGAAGGAAGACTCTGCTGGCCGGCCAGCAGCTACATTCCTAAAAGCAGGTATGATCTGACCATATATGTACATTCTGGTGGTTGTCCGATTCCCAGACCTTAAGCATTTCCCCAAGGCAGGCCTTAGACCCTCAGGTCTTATGATCCTTCTCCTGCCACAGGAATCTGCCCCATACCCTCAAGTAAGAACACACAGCCTCCCGCTCCATCCCAGAGCATAGCAACCACTGCCTACGCAACTGTCTCCATAAAAAACCAAAAAGACAGGCTTCAGAGAGCTTCTGGATAGAGAAGACATGGAGGTTCCTGGAAGGTGGCATACCCGGAGCAAGCACGGAAGCCCTGCCCTTCTCTCCCACACCCCACCCTCTGCATCTAAATTCTTTGTACTAGCCTTTATCACAAACCAACAAACATGTCAGCCTGAGTCCTGTGAGCCACTGGGGCAAATTAGTCATCCTCAGGGAAGGGGTCATGGGAACCCCGAGTTATAGCTGGTGAATCAGAAGCACTGTGTAGAACCACCTGGAGCCGCCCAATGGTGTCTAAGGTGTGTGACCGGAGACAGCTTTGGGGACTGAGCCTGCAATCTCCAAGCAGACAGGGTCAGAGCTGAGCTGGATGATAAACCCGCCCTCCCTCCCTTGCTATCCACTGCAGACCTTGCTGGCACGGGGCGGAGAAAGCCCCAGACATCTGGTGCCAGAAGTGATCAGGGCTGTGACCATATAGTAGGAGAAACTGAGTTTCAGTAGACTTTTCTTCTATAGCCTCACAGCAGAAGACAGACTTGCCAAGACTAAAGGTATGTGGTCTCCTCTTATACCAGGAAGAACAAAGGTCAACCATAGGACAGCTGCAAATTCTTATCAGCCTGGAGAAGGTAGCAGGGGAACCTATAGTAACAGGCTGCATTCATGGCCTTTATCTGCCAGTTAGTGGCCTTCCCCAAATTGCCACTCCTAGAGATTCAAAGTCCTTCTCTTTGGCTTGTTACTTCTCTAAAACTTTACTCTTTTGCTGAAGCTGCTATACAAGCTGGAACTCAAAGCCACCTTTCTGAGAAATAATCATTCCCTCAGCATCTTCCACATAGACGTGAAATGTGTATGTTAATCAACTTCTGTTTTCCTCTTCTTCCTCTGCCTTTATAATACAGGGATCCATTCCCAAAATTATGAAGGTTGAAGAAAGATCTTTCCTCCTATAAGAACTCCATTTTGAACTTATGGGATGGGTGTTTGGGGTAAGGGTGGGAGTGGAGATGGAAAACAATAAGTAAAATACAACCAGGTGCTTAAGTAGTTTGCCATTTGTCAGCAGCAATGTGACAGGCTTACAAAGGCCCCCATCACACACCTGCACGCTCTGAAACCTATGCAGTCTACACTAGATGGATAAGGAAATCATTTCTGAATCCTGCATGCAAGGAAATTTTCCTTGAGAAATGCAATTGAGTTAGAATACAAAGTGCCCAAGTTATGCAGGCAAGATCAATATTACTGTACAAACACGATTTATATTAGTAAAACAAATTATAGTGATGGATTTCTAATTTCCTTAGCCTTAAAGTCTTTTCTTCAAATGTAATTCTACTCACAAACCCAGCCAGCCACAGAGGCTGAGAACAGCAGAGCGGCTCTGGTGGCAAAGGGGGATGAGCCACGGAGCCTTCACCATGTAGACCCCAGAAGCCTCTGCAGATGCACGGGGCTTCAGGAGTCACAACTGCAAAACCCCTCATGCAAAGACATTAGGGCTTCTAACTTTCTGGCACCCACAATAATCTGAAATTCTCATGATGAGAGTACTGCCAGGTGGTGAAATCTGCTAACAGAAACGAATGATGGTTTACAAGGTTTGAGGTCAGTTTCTGAGGCTGTGGCTTTAACTCAATCAGCCCACTGTTTCACAGCCCTCTAAGCACATTAAAATGCCAGCATCCTGAGTGTCACCATCTATATCTTGCATACGATCCTCTTCCTCTTTGATAACTGGTTTTTTTTTTTCTTTAAGATTTATTTACTTAAAAGGCAGTGCAGAAAACAGAGACAGAGACAAAGAGACTGATCTTCCATCCACTGGTTTACTACTTGAATCGCCAAAAAAGCCAGGGCTGGGCCAGGCCAAAGCCAGGAGCCAGGAGCTCCATCCAGGTCTCCCACACAGTGCAGGAGCCCAGGTACTTGGGCCATCATCGGCTGTCTTACCAGGCACATTAGCAGGAAGCTGGATTGGAAGCAGAGTAGCCAGGACCCAAAAGCCAGCAATCTTTTGTGGGATTTCAGCCTCTGATACATGGTTCTTTATAA